ATGGAAAGGTGAATGATTATAAAATTAATAACAATGACCAAGACAAACAAGCAAGCAAGTATAGAAACCTACCTGTTAACTTTAAATCATTTAAAGCGCAATTGTATTACCAAAAAATATAGCTAAGAGATTAATTATCATAATCAATTCGCTAATCGAGAATGATCGATCTTTTTGCTGAAATGACATGTAATACCATTATTATTATTTGACTGGTTCTAATAGATTATATAGCAACTAAATTGTATTTTAAAATTAAAGAAAAGTTATAATAAGTCATTGATAAATTGAAATTCGTAGAATATGAAAAATATTTCTTTTTATTGAAGACACTTTTTTTGTTGTTGTTCTTACTGTTGTCTTCGTTTTATTTACTTAAAAGAAAAGGAAAAAAAAAATTACGACATGTATCTTTTTGTAAAATAGTAAATGTAATATTTTAATTAAAAGATAAAAAAAATAATAATTTCATCATTTACGTATAATAGAAGAGATTATTTGGATAAAAAATAAATTTGCAAAGAAATAAAATTAAAATTTAACAAGTAACATAAAAAAAAAAAAAAGAAATGACAATTCTGATAGTTTGAAATGCGATAGAGCAATAAATGGCGCATTATTGCAGTACGTATCATTACAATGTTTGCAATAATTGTACATTTTATTGAATGATAATATAAAAGACAGGTTTTCATCTCTCTCTCTCTCTCTCCTTCCTTTTCTCTTCCTCTCTCTCTTCTTCCTCAAATATTATCCTAACATTTACATTTCCACTACTGAATATTAACTTTTTTTTTAAATAAAATTTCATAAAAATAATAACAACGAGAAAAAAACTGATTTATTATCAATTAAAATTTTGTTATTTGAAATAATAATTGATATATGAATGAATTTTAATTAGACAAACAATTTTCAAAAGAATTTTTCTTTTTACAAAAATATAATAATTAATATTAAAATATAGCGATTAAAATAATAAATGAGAAACGAAATAAATGAATTTTATACGGAATTTATATCAAATAATTCATTTATTGTTTATTTTGCTATTAATAGAATGAGAATATCAGTGTGAGAATGACAATTTTTTAAGAAAAAAAGTAATAAGTAATTAATTTGAACGAAATGAATAAATGAATATGTTTAGTTTACATTACCAATTTTAATAGATGTTACAAATAAAAACATTGCAATAAATTATCTTAAAATTACAATATTAATCAATTTTACCTATTTGTAATAATTGCTCATTAATAGGCATACTACCTTATTTTTTTAACTTTTTCGTTTTTGCTAATGAAATAATTTGGCATGAAATATCCAAGAATAGTAATAACTACTTTAATCAATATGATATGTGAAGTGTTTCTCGTTTTTTTTTTTTTTTACTTTAAAATATTTATTTTTGTTTTCCTTACGTATGAAATCTATCAAGAAGTGCAAGCAATCTTAATATTGAAAAAAAAAAGGGATAATGGCATTTAATAAATGACATTTATTTCTTTTATAGCGTTTATTTTAAAATGGAAAGGAAAAGAAGAAAAGCTATGCGATAAAAAAAGCTTAGTATTTAAATATTAGATTAGAAAGCATCAAAATTAAAATTTAAGTATTAGATTAACAATTAAAATTGAGTGCAAAGTTTACACAAAATTAATCAAGACTAAAAAATTTATATTATACAAATTTTAAAATTTTAAACTTTTCGAAAAGTTTTATTTTTCTATTATACAATTAACGTGAAATTGGAAAAACGAAAGTTTTTTTCGTCATTACAAAATTTTTGAATTTCTAAGTAAGAAATTCATGTATTACCAAAATTATTAAATTTTTTAAATGGCAAAAATTTTTATTTATCATATAGTATTAATTTATGCATAAATCTCTGAAGTTTTACTACATTATCCGCTGTTACACTAATTTTAAACTTAAGATATAATTATAGATCTATAAGGTTTATTTATAGATTTATTTATAGATTTTTGAAAGTATAATTCTGATATGCAATTTCGGATGTAAATATTTCCTCCTACACAATTAATTCTTAGACGGAAATCAATATGCCATATTAGTTAATTAGAAATCAATTTTCAATTTACTTTTATTTTCAGTTTTTTTAATATTATATTAATTTTAAAAAAAGAAAAAAATTATGAATGAATGATAGCAATTTTCTAATTATTGCTATTGCTATCAATAAAAATATTGTGATTAAATGATATTAGCAGTAAATAATAATGTATAAAATTGACGATTGACTAGTTTTTTTCCTTATTTTTTTTCCCCCTTTTTTTTCAAATTTACTAAAATTTTTTTTTATAAATTTATGAAATGAAGTTAATTTCATTTTATGCTTAAAACTATTTATCAACTTATTTCCATTTCTTTTATAAAAAAACGGACAAACAAGCATTCTTTTGCTTTAAGAGAATGTTTGTTCGTTTCTTTCATTTTTTTTTTTTTTTTTCTGTAATTTTTGCAAAATTAGTAACTGATGGAACGTTAATATTTAAATTAAAAATAAATTTAAATTGAAAGAAAACGGTCAAATTTAGATTAATAATGGCTAAAAATTTAATTCAAATTTCTCACTCTTTTATAAAAATTTAAATCGCTTATAAATGATTAAAAAGAAAATTTTACCTTGAGTAAGTAGCTAATTTGAGTTGGAATTGTGGTGAAATAAGGTAAAAAAGAATAGATGAAAAAAAAAAGTAAAAGGAAAAGAAAAGGATGAGAAAAAAGTAAGGGAAGTTTAAGAAACTAGCAGCTGTTATTGCTAATTTCTAAATTGTAGTAATGATCAATTTGAAAAAAAAAATATTTTTCTGGAAAAAAAGGATGAGAGAGAAAGAGAAAAAAGAAAAAAAAATTTCTTTTTTCATTTTGCTCAAAAATTTAAAGTATTTTTTTGGTTATTTGTTTCATTTCATTTCTTAATTTTCAATATTATTTCATTCAGAATATTCAATCACATAACATATAGCATATTTATTTGAAATAAAAATAAAAATTAATCGATGCATGACAAAGCTGTCTAATTAAAACTGAATGGTTCAAAATTTATCAAATGTTTTAATTAACAATTTTTTATGATATATAAAAGGAAAATTTGTTTATTCTTTCTTTCCTAAATATTTGTTCAAAATGAGCAAAATATTTGACGAAGAGATCATTGCAATCAATAATTAGTGATTGATCCCTACAAATGATAATTTGTGACTAATTATTAATACATTTGTTGTTCTTTTCTCCTTTTTTATATCTGAATTTTTTCTTTGTTTTGTAGAAATTGAAACATTTTTGTGACAAATGTGAAGAAAGAAATTTTTGATTAAATGGAATTAATTTGTTGTTGACAAAATCGAAAAAAACGAAAAAAAAGCCAATATTTCAAATTTGATAGCGAATCTTTCTGATCGCAATTTTTCTTTTCTTTTTTTTTATAGTTTTTATTTAATCTTTGAAGTTTTATGAGGAATGCATACAGAGCATAGGTCAAGCAAATGATGATAAATAATCGTTATTTTGATTAAATTATTTGTTTTATTTTTTATTTTAAATGATAAAAATGACTATATAAAGACTTTCTGACTTTTATTCCATCATCTGAGTCATTTCAATTCCGTAATAATTTGCATAAACAACAACTAGTAAAATTCAAATCATCTATCTAATGTTTAATTATTTGTGCTAGATCTTAACATACTTGAAAATGTTTAGAACATTTTCAATGTACCTTGTAATATTTACTTATTACTATTTCTACAATATAAATCAAATAATAGTTTATTTTCATGGGAGACTGACTACATTTACTTTCATAAAAAGCCATAAGTTTAGTAAATTGTAAAAAGAGAGCTAATATATCTTAGCTAAACAAATAAATTAGAACAGTTTGAGTTACTAATAATCCAAAAAAAGAATTAAAAAACAGTGTATAAGTTTTTTTTTTCTTTTATGGAGCTTGTGTAAAGTTAATTAGCGTATTAATAAATAAATTATTACCTCCTCTTATAATTTTCATTATCATAACAAAAAAAGAAAAAACGGAATCAAGAAAAAGACATTCAATAAATAAAATAGGAATGAATGGATTGAATTAAACATTTGAATTAAAGACTTAGTGAAATGAAATAAAAACTCATGTATTTTTTTTTTTAAGTAATAAAAAAAATTACACTTTTATTAGGAATATTCACATGTTATCTTTACATAAAATAAAATTTTTACAAAAATTATGAAAATAAATTAATTAGTTGATAGAAAATTATATAAATTAGAGATAAAATGAAACTTTTCATAAATGAGTAGTAAAATATTTCTTCACATACATACACAAACAGAGAGAGAGGGAGAGAGAAGGAGAGAGAGATAAACACGCATCTGTTTTATCCTTCTAACAAAAGTTTATCAAATAATACCACATATCTTCACAGTTTCTCTCAAATCACTTAACCTTTAGCAAATGAAAAATTTAATTCTCTATTTCAACCATTTATTAATCTTTAGATAACATATTCCATTTCTTAAATGTGTTTCATATGTGTATTTTCTCTCTTTCTTTCTCTTTGAATAATGCACATATGGTGAAATTTTTCCTTTTTTTTGCATAGTTCCTCATCTTATTTTACTATTGTAATAGCAATTTAGTTACTTAATTGTATTTTTACACACATAAAAAAAGATCATTACTAGAAAATGAAAAAAAAAAATCCAAAACTTATTTACAGCTATTCGCTATCATTTTTTTAATAATTTAAAAAATAATTATATTAAAATACTGGAAAAATCATAGTTGGAAATGTAATTTTCCAATTAAATAAAATTTCATTAATCTTTCACCTAGAAAATTCAGGAAATTTAATCAAAATAGTATTACTCCTTAATACTTGGAAAAAAAAGCTCAATTTCTTCATAAAGTAATTTAAGTATTTGCAGCAAAAGAAAAGGGAAGAAAAAGATAAACAAGTGATATCCATTAAGCGTAAACACATATGACGAAAGGGATAAGAAACAGGTCAGAAAACAAAAAAAAAAATTCTTAAATTCAATTTTGCTTCAAATTTTTAGGAAAAAGATCGATTTAAAACATTTTAAACTTTAAGGTCGAAATGTATGAACCAGTTTCATAGTAATGCTAATGGTGCAGCATGGAATCCTTTATTAACTCATTGCTCCAAAAACAAAATAATATCCAAAGCCAAGAATTCACAAATGAAAAGACTAAAAATCAAAAGGGTATATGAATGCGATGAATGCAGGTGAAAATAAAATTAGCTCTACTGGAGCTTTAAAACAAAATATTTTTGATGAGCGAAAATGTAAAAAAAAAAAGAAAAACATTTTTTGGTCTAAAAAAAACAATTCTGAAGCATTGAGAAACACCAACATACTTTTTCAGCGATTACAATATGAATCAATGGTATAGGAAAAAGTGAACAAAAATTACTAAAAATCGTTTTGCAAAAAATGTAGTCATATGTTTTGAATCATTTTCTTGCAAAATTAATAAATGGTAACATTCTTGTATTAAATGAGATACTTCCCTAATAATATATCACAATTCTTATAGCTCTTTTGAATATGTAAAATTCCTTCAATTTTAAACCCTTGCTAAAACTTTTACCTTTTTATAAAATAACACGATTATCAGTGATTTGATAGCATGAATAAAATTTTGAAAAACAGTGACTGATAGTAATTCAGCCATAAAATATATAACCGTATAAAGTGTATAAGAGATAAATTAAGGCATGCTTTCCAGAATACTTTTTTAAAAATCACAAAGAAATTGATCAGTCACTTAGCACACTTGAATGCTGTTAACAAGTCAAGTCGACATCTCAGAATTGAAATTTCCTTGGAATATGTAACAGCAAGAATGATACGATTATAATTATCATTAAACAACAAATTCATCAAAGTCACCAATGTACTTCATCTCCTCTATGCTTTTTAATGTGCAGAAACATTAGGTGACTATCATTTTGATTTAAAATACTTTCTGGAAGCTAATCTGGTCCAGCATCTGCAACATAAAAATTAAATAAATATTAATGCTTATACAAATACTTTCAAATTATCTTTAAGAGCTGCATAAAAAATATAAAAACTATAAACATTGTAAAAAAGAATCTTGTAAACACCCTTTAAACAATTCCAAAAGAATAAAAAACTTACTTCTTGTTGCAATAACTCTATTCCATCCTCCTCGTCCTGGATCATAATCCTTACGATATTCATCTCGAACCTATAATAAATTCTACCTACAACACAATCAGTGTCACATACACACATGATTATATATTTCCAAAGTACTATTTATTTCAAACTTATAATAAATTCTCTCTTTAATATAATCAGTGTTACATATATGATTACATGCTTTCAAAATCCACTCAATTATGCCAAAAAGAAATGAGAATAGCTAAAAAAATATTTTAAGCACGTTATTGCTTTCACTAAGTATTTCTAGATGAGTTTGATATACAACAGTTTAAAATTAAAGATGATTAGATGAAATAAAGAAAAAAGAAAAAAAAAAAGAACTGAATTATCGATACCTGTCCTCCATGTTTACCACGCCCGTACTGTCGACCTTCCACAAATCCAGCGTCCCAATCAGTACGAATTATTCGATCATCTAACCGAGTTCCATTTATGCAACGCATTGCGTCTTCAGCGTCCTCTCGAAGGTAGTATCTGCATAAATTATATGTAAATTACATAAAATGGTTTTCTTTTCTCAACAGTTACTCGGAAAAGTTAATGCCACCAGCGTTTGGAAAGCATATGTTTTTAATGCATTAATGTAAACAATAATCTGAAGCTTCAATATCATCTATATCAAAAAAAGAATTACTGCAAAGTTTAAATTAGTTCTAAATCCCTTAAATGATTTTTAGTACCATAAAAAGAGAAACAGATTTTTGTATCCTAAAAAAACAATATAATATTTAACTCACTCAACAAAACAGAATCCACATGGTATTTTCTTGAATCGATCAATACCCATAATTATTCGCTTGATATCACCAGCCCGACTGAATAATTCATAAGTCTGAAAAATTGCAAAGGAAAATACAAGAGCTATACGCATAAACCACAATCTAATTATACATAATTTAATTATGCAGAAAACCATAATTTGCCGAAATCATAATTTGCAATTAATTCATACAAACCTGCTCCTCTGTTGTATAGTACGACAAGTTGCCAACATAAAGTGTTTTCGAAGTAAGTAAAAGCTTTTCCTGTTCACGTAATGAACCCTAAAATATGAGCTCAATAGTTACATGAACCAGAGAAATGTACTAGAATAGAGTTAAAGGATTTTTCAAGAAAATTAGTTAAACATCCCAGTTTTAGGTAAAAACCCCGAGACCTTATTACACAAAGTTCTTATTTCTTTCGAAAATCTTATGCAATCATGAAATTGGCATCAAAGTACTGAAACATCTGGATATGATATAGTGATCTGTTAACTGGGACTTTAAACACACCAAGAAACAAACTATTTAAGGCTTTCCTGCTTTAAACATGTATTCTCGTCTAGAAAATGCAAGCCTTCCTATTTTAACCATTGTTAAAACTTCATAACCTCTTCGTAATGTTTAAGCAGCACTTTTGTTACAACGGAAGGATAATCATCCTTTTCGTTCGCTTTTTTTTTTTCGGATCCCTCTTGAAACGATATTAAAGCAAATAATTTTTTCTTATGCGTGAAAATGTTAAAGACACTTCAAAATGAATCAATCACATTAAGCAATGAAGAACTGACCTTGAATCGTTGATCGCGATAAGGACCTAACGATGAGGCATCGTCTTTAGCTCGAAAATTGATCACGCTACTCATTTATTTGCTAAATGAAGCGTACATCGAAATGTTTGAAGAATTTGTTCTTGATATAAATGAGAAAATCTGAAGATCACATTCCATTTATCCTATGCATAAGTGATATCAATAAATTTGATCAAACTATCATTCATTTCTTATTTTTGCTTTTATACTTTAACTATCACTCAAATGTGATAAATTTGAAAGCAAAAGATAAAATGAAATGATAACATGTGACACGATAAATCCGAGAAGGAAAAATAGTTTCCATTAATAAACCTCGGCCACCCACTCCTCCTCAAAATCTCATCTCCTTCGAGGATTCCACAAATTAAACCAATTTTGCACAACTGCCAAGTACAACATTTAACGAGGTAAATGCGATGTCTTCAATGAAAAATACTCATCCCACCGGCTACAACTTTAATTTCCAATTGTTTTTGTTGATTTTTATAGTTTATTAATAAGTACTGGATAGTATGCGATTTGGAATATACCAGTAGTTTGTGAATTTTAAAAATGCTTAATGAATGACTTGAAATGAAATTGCATTTTAAAAAGTGCTATTAGATAATCTTTATTGGAATTTCGTATTTTCAAAACTTAATTTAAAATTTTTGATAGTCAGATGATAATTTTAATTAGCTTTGATATACAAAATACTACTTCTGAAATGACACAATCGCTTAAACATTTTTTACGTTAAGCATTTTTTTTTCTGCAAAAGTATTTGCAATATATAAATTTGCTGATTAGTACATTTGCGCACGGTTTTAATATTTTTATCAGCAATAAACTAATTTCCATTTGTAAAGCATAATTATGATATTATTTGACTGAAAAAATAACATATTGGATATGAAAAAGAAATTTTATCATAATTAAAGTGTATTTCTTACTTTTATGTTTTTCTATTTTGTGAATAGGCAAAAGTTAATTGCATTTTTGTCCTTTTTGTTAATACTAAGTTTTAAGATTGATTAATAGCAATATATAAGATTTTAGTATATATAAGTGGTAAATTGTTTGAGGCAACATAATAATTAAGAATTAAATGAATTTAATTTCGTATTGGTGTGAAAATATTTCGATTTATATTAAAATAGTATTTTCCTCTTTTTTTTTTTTTTTAATTTTGATTATTTTTATAATATTAATTTTCAAAACTTTTGGATAAATAAACAAAAAATTGTTAACAATTGATTGCAAATATAAATATAAATATATATATATATATATTACACAGAAAATGTAATAATAAAACATATTTTTCATTATCAATGAGCATCGGTTGTAAGTGCCTGTACAATGCACGGATCATTTTTAGAACCTTGTTTGAATTCTTCGAGCGTTAATTTACCGTCAAGATTCTGCAAAAAATAAAAAAAGAAAAAAAAATCTTTTATAATTAATTAAAAATAACAATAATTAGTTAGAAAGATTCTGCAAAAAAATCTTTGGCTATTAATAATAATTAATTAAAACTTTAAAATTTCCAAACGATTTATTTCTATTGTTAATTGTCAGATTAACTATTGAAAATATATTTACCTGAATTGTAATAAATTGCATTAAAATGGATGAAAAAAATTTTTTATTTAATTTTTCTTTTTTTTTTTAAATATAATTTTTATGCAATATGTATTAATTTATGTAAAAAAAAATACTATTAATTTGAATTATTTATTACATATATATATGTAATAAATAATTCAAATTATAATATATATTATATATATATATATAATTATATATATAAGATTATAATTTGAATAAAAAATACTGAAAAAGAAGTAAAACCTAAAAATAAATTTAAAAATAATGAGTGAATATAAATGAAACATACATTATCCATATTAGAGAAAATTTTAGCAACTCGTTTCTCAGGTGTATCCTCATCTTTGGGTAACTCAATGATATTACCAATCATTGAATGAATTGCTTCAACAATGTCACCCATTTCATCTTTTGTTATATAACCGTCTTTGTCAACATCATACAGTGAAAAAGCCCCTAAAATAAATTAAATAAATGAATTTAATTAATTAATTGATGAAACAAACTTTAATAAATTTAAGAAATGATTGTTTGATTATTTAAACAAATAATTAAATAAACAAATAAGTTGGTTGAATAAAATTTATTAAATAAAAAATCTATTGAGCGAAATATTTTTTAGAAATTAAGTAACAGTAATGAAGGAAAAGAAAAAAAAGAAATGAAATAATAGAAAATATGAAACTTTACAGTCTAATTTTTCATCAAGTGTACCGCGCGATGTAATTGATAATGCTGTAATGAATTCGTGAAATGATATACAACCATCCTAAATTAAATTCCATCTCATGAAATTTAATTTAAATTTATTAAATTTACTTTTATTTCTATAATTCAAAAAAGAAATTTTGAAAATGATTGACACTTATGTTGAAAATTATTATTTTTTTCAATAGAAAATGTTAATAAAATTTTGGATGTAATGACTAATTTTGATAAAAATTATAAAATAATATGTGAAATTTTTGAAAAAAATTTATAAAAAAACTTTTGTAATAAAGCTATTTTTTTTCATAAATATCAAAATGTCAAATTAAACTTAAA